TGACTAGAGTATATTCTGGGTTTCACCCTTTCTAGATTCTCATACCTTCAGCTGTCAAAAATGAGTCCTTTGCATCAACCAGAGAATTTTTTCAATAAAAAGAGAATCTGGCATTTGTTGAACTTGCAAAGTGGGGGATTCTAATAATGACAAACTTAAGTAAGTCCAAAAATCATAAATTTTCTTCTCATATAGTATCAGCCATTTTGATGCTTTGATCATTACAAGAAAACGTACCCAGTTCTTCACTTACTGGGGATTTTTAAGCAATGTTTTCACCCAATCTAATTTGGAGTCAGCAGCAGATGGCATCGTAGATGCCATAGATCATTATCATTTTGAATAAATTAACCCACAAAAATACCCCAAATCATCCTGGGATGTACAAGTTTTGAGACAGGACTGCCATTTACATTCAGGCTTTCATTTTCTTCTTCAACCCAACACCTGGGCTATAGCCTAAGATACTGATGCATTGCTGTCTGAATTCTTAGGTAGGTTTTTTTTGTCTGTCATCAGAAGAGCTCAAAGAACCCCATGAAAGAAATGGAAAGATGTGGGACGAGATCACCTCTCCACCTGAAAGGTGCATTTCTTACTAATGGAACAAATTATCTGAAACTTCTTGCTGCCAGAGAGTGAGACCTCAAGAGAAACTGCAGCAATATGAAAGCATCAATCCCAGAGCAGAGAGATGGGTGGTTTTCTGACTTCTGATCTGAGCAGTAAAGTTCCCTTTTCACCAAGATGTACCTCACCACAGACCTCACCACCTTCGGAACAAAGTGCAGGGCTTTACAATAAAACCCACAACACTAAAAAGAGAGCAAACTGGAAACTGTCTGCACGGACAGGCAGATAAATGCAGATAAAGAGCAGGCACCGTAGCAGCGGAGATTGGTGCCTGAGGGCTGTCACAAAGAGAACTGCCACTGCTTTGCCATCAGATGTGATGTGAAACAGCACCTCTTCCACCCTGCAACCCAGGACCCACAGCTCATGCTGAGAGCTACCTTCAGCCCCATAACCACCAAATCTAGGTTTTGGATGACTTCTGGGAAATCATTTGAATAGGGTCTTTTTTTTTCCAATTGCAGTTCCGTCCCCATCTGTGTTGGACATATTAAGAAACTCGACTAACTTTATCCACCTTTAAGGTGGGTTTAAATCTAGTCACTAAACATGGAAGACTGCTTAAAGATGCATAATTAAAGCAGCTCTCTGCAAGTGGCTCTGGTGTTGGCCTGAAATTTTAGAAGAGTACGTTTTTCTTCACTCATCTCCTTCAGATGTTCTGACAAACCAGCCAATTGTCACCTGGTTGAAGTGATGCACAAGCTATGTCTGCCACAGAGGTTTGGAACTTTGGTAACGTTACACTTTTTCTCTAAATCAAAATTCTTGATCATGCCACCCATTCTCGTGATGAGTATTACTTTATTCCTCCTAGGAGCTTACCAAAAATAGAAAGGCCTGACAAAACAGTGGATGGAGGTGTAGCCAGAAAGGGAAATGAAGTCATCTTCTACCACTAATACTAAAAGAAAAGGTCAGCTTTAAGAAGAAAATCCTGAAAATATATTGTCCTCACATACTGGATGGAAGCTAATGAAGAGAGATGCTGTGAAGTGATACCAGGAAGTTGTTTCTGTCAGTGTGTAGAAACAGCAGAAGGAGTGGGGCTAAGAAAGCACAGACATCATAAACATGGGGACCACCCGACCAGCCTCACAGCAGTATCAAGATACATACAGTACTGACCTAGAATAATAAACAGATGCATTTTATGAACCACTGCCAAAGCTGCTTTTTAAAAAGCCATTATATTTCCCCTAGTTAGAAGGGTCTCTAAAAGTATTGCCATTTAATAGATCCTGCATTGAGAATGGTGGATCAGGAGGTGGTAAAATAAACGACAGTGTGAACCTCTACAGGGGTACCAACCCATCACTGAAGGAGTGTGAGGAGACAACATCTTCTCAGCACAACTCATGTCAGGTTCTAGAAAATGGAAACAAACATGCAACAGAAGCTGACAACAGTTTCAAGTGACTCAGTCGCAGAACAGGCATAAAGCAAACATTTTGCAGGTTATTTAAAATGCAAATTGTTCTTCTATACACCCAGCTGTTGGAGTACAGGTAACATCTGATGTAAATGAGTCACCTACTTTAATCAAATGATATGGCTAGAGAAAAAGGTAGAAGCAAAAATAATGACTCATGTTTCTTCACATTTCTGTCCCCATTACAGCTGTTCTCCAGGTTAGTAGGGGAATGAAAAAGCAGGTTACTTTAATGGCACCTCAGTATAAAACCAATTCTCTAACTATCATATTAAAAATTAAACAGCTTTGCATCTTTAATGCATACTTTCCTTTTTGAAGACAGTTGTGTGGCCATATTTAAGTGTTTTTGTTGTGTCCAGTGAGCAACTGGAAAGAAAGATACAGGAAGCAGCAAGGGAGAAAATATACAATTAAAGAAAATATGACCAAAAAAAAAAACCAAACAAACAAAGAAAGCAACACTTGTTCCTTACTGGCAGGAAGCACATGCTCAAAATTAAAACAAAAAATCAAGTCAGGCAATAAGGATGCTAAAATGTCATGTGAAAGAAACTACAAATAACAGCATATCTTTGAAAACAGTCATTTTACCTCCACTAGATTTGCCAGTCTCTCATAATGAACACAGCTCATTGTCAGTAGTTTTTGTACTTAAGCCACAAACAAACACATTGATATGGTCTACATTGATATGGTCTCAATCTTGTCAGCCTTTATGGGATCTCTTTGGATCCAGGGGTGTACTCATTAAGTCACAGGGCATTGCTCATGCAGCACTCTCCAGGCAATGCTGAAATACACCTTACACCTAAAAGTAGTCCTTTCTGAAGCACTAGAACCTCCTCCCTCCTCCCTATACCAAATGTCCTTCATCATAACTTTTAAGCAGGCACAGAAAAAGGTAGACCAGAAAATGATACAGAAAATGGCAGAGAGTTGTTTTTGCTAGCGGCCTCTGGCCCCATAAGCTGAATCTACTTGCTCCTACGTGACTAAGCAAGTTTTCCCTCTCTCTTCATCAGGCAGGCATAGCTGTATACTTGATCTCCTCCCAGCAAATGTTCTGCTTCATCTTAAGATTCCCTAAGGAACAAACATAAGAGAACATTGTGGTCCATTGCAGGCCCAACCACACACTGCACTGTTCTGTGCTGCAGCAGAGGAGGTCCCTCAGTGCACTCTGGAGCTTCTCTGGTGGTGTTTCACGGGTACCTCTGTGCAGCAGTGCGCGAGTGCATCCAAAATACCAGCATCACTGGGTGTGTGTGCCTACAGGCTTCTTCTAATCAACAGAGCAGGGCTGATTTGCAACTGGGCAAGCACACATTTTCAAAATGCGCTCAGCCCTATGGAGACCAGAATTTCATTTTCCTTAGTGCCCTACCTCAGGAAACAGACTGAGTAAAGCACAGCCCAGTCACTCTGACAACTTTCAAGTCTCTGCACTGTAAATTAGGACCCTCACTTCCTCTCATTTTATACAGCAAAGCTTCTCCAAATCCTGCAGGAAGCCTACTCTGTCCCAAAGGGCCAGCTTCCACCCCCAGTCATCCAGTGTGCACTTACAGGGATTGACTCCTGAGGGAAGATGGTGAGATTCTGACTTACACATTGGCTTTTCTCACCTATTAAAATCCCAAAGCAGATACAAGGGAATGAGGTAAAATTCTGACACGCACTTGAAACGTAATGTGTGAAGCAGCAAAATGAGGGGTTTTGATGTCCTGGCAATACACCCTGAAGTTTTCCTGGGAATTTTCTGTCCTTGCAGTCAGAGATGCTTTGGCAAATGGGTGTGCAGCCACGATGCTACCAGGATTCATTCATACATTTGTGTGAACATGGGTATCAAAAACCTGGAACTCTCCAAACATCTTATCAAGGAGAAGATCAAGCACCACGTACCCCAGAAATCCACACCGCTGGCCACCGAGAGAAGACAAGTCCTACGTCTGGGAGAGCAGAACGGGGTATCGGCGAGGATGTCTTTCCCCAAATCCCCAAATTCAGCTCGGCTCTGAGGTCTCGGACACAAGGACCCTTCCCTCCCTCCCCCTTACCTGAGCCGCCCACGTTGGACCGCAGCAGGCAGGTCCTGCGGGAGGAGGAGAAGGAGGAGATGTCGCTTTGGGAGCGGCCGCGGGGACCGGGCAAGGACCAGACGGGCAGCGGTGCTGTCCCGCTGCTCCCTGGCCTTTCAGCCATCGTCGACGGGCAGCCGAGAACGGCAGGGAGGAGAGAAGAGGAGGGAGAGAGGCGGCGAGGGAGGGGACAGGGAAAGTTTGCAGAGGAAGAGCCGCCCCTCTCCTCCGACCGCCCCGCCGGGACGCCGGCGGCGATTTTGGGTCTCTGGGGACATAAATTTTGTGTTTGAACAGGAGCAAAGCAAAGTGGGTTTGCGGGTTGGGTGCGCGGATGCACCCATCCCTCAGGGTGTCTTCATGCTCCCGCCATTGCCATCTCTCGAGGGGAAAAAAGGGAATAAAAGGAAAAGAGAATCAGTTAAAAAGAGCCGAGTAACCCACACCACCACTTCTGTTTTGTGTAACAGGGTGCCCTCTCCCCCGCAAAGCCGGAAGGTTGCACAAGGCACCGCATCCCTGCAGAAGAGCTGCGAGAGAGACGAGTCAAATATCCTCCCCACCCCATCACCTCCCTCCCCATCTTTCTTAAGGATTGGGTTGCATGTAGGAGACTTAACTAACTTCGGCAGGAAGGTGCTGCCTTTCACATCGGTCACACAGACCTAGGCAGAAGCAAAATCAAGCTTCATGGTTTCGTTTCCTGGTGTTTTACAGAAACCTTTTTACAACAAAATGCACCTTTAAAAGGAAATTTTATGTTCACACTGCTTCTTACAGGCAAGTCATCACATACTGCCTTGAATGAAATCTGCTCTGCCGTGCAGCCACAATGAAAACACAGAAAAGACTGCAGCCTATATTTTTAATGCGTCCAGAGTTGCATAGTTATTCAATGTGAAAGTTGCATTCAAGCTGCATTTTAACAACTACGACTCTTCAGGTCTGATTCAAAACCTATCAAGTCTGAAAGCTGTCCACGTGAAATTCAGTTTCTGGTTTCTGTTTCCACCCAAGTCTTCATCTCAACGCCGAGCCCGTGCAGCTCCCCAGGCGCAGGGGTTTTGTGGTCTTCCCAGCAGTCACTCTCCGCATTTGTCGAAGCAATTGATCCAGCACAGGAGTCTCGTATGTCAGCCATTAGTCAGGTCGAAAGGTCTTTTCTGCTCAGTTTCCCTCAGGGCATTGCCTTCATTGTTTCCTCTCCTTCCCTCTGCTGACAGACCAGCCTTCCCCAGCCACAGAGCTTTCCCAGCGGGACTGTGAGAGGGAGAGGCACGGGCTCCATCCAGCCCCTCTCACGGGGGGGGGTCACACAGGCAGGAACGTGGTACCCACGCTTAGAGAGCTTTTTGCAGCTGCGCACACCAGTCCTGTGTTATTTACAAAATCTGACAATGTGCTATTTTTATTATTTACCCTTTGCAGCTTGCATCGTTACAAATGTAACAGTACAAAAAGGACTATTTTCCCCAACAGGGATTTCAGTACATGGGCATGTATGGGCTGGTGACATTTTCTGGACCTATCTATACTTTAATCAGAAGTGTACTCATCACTGCTGTTTACTGAAATGTTTGCCACTTTTCTTTTCCCTTCCTTTTTTCCTTTTTTAGGGGGTGTGATCAAGTTCATTATTGAAATACACAGTCCCTGCTCCAAACCTCACCAGAGTTTACAGCAGGTCAGCGAGCTTTGGGTCAGACCCTGACTTTTTTAACATCATTTTTTCTTCCAAACATTTTGAGCTACAGAGCAATTGTACCTTTGTCGTGCTGTACAGAGTGTATGCTTCAAAATTCTCACATTAAGAAGCTGCTCAGTGTCTGCAATTCTTTGGTGCGATCAAAAAGGAGAACATGAAGAAATTGAAAGATAATCCAGAAAGGATCTCATACAAGAGGTCAAAGGCATCTAAAGGTTTCTTTTGAGAAGCAAAGTGACACCTAAAGGAGTGAAGGAATCAGAAGACATAAAGTAGGTCAACGGTGAATGTAAAAGAGATATGAAGAGGCTCCTGTTGTAATATCAAAGTGCTTCGGTAAATCAGACTAAAGTGAACAGTGAGAAAGAATAATGTGCTGGAAATCACAATGTTTTTTATTTGCCTATAACTTGTTATATTAATCAAGGTATATAAATTAAAATATTACAAAATCATGTACATATTGTTTTCACAACCCTTTAAATATTTTTGAATTACATGTAACAGCTGTGGTTAATGGCTCTGGAAACTGAAGTTGTATTTCCATAGAACAGCAGTAAAGTATACACCCTTTCCAGTTGGAGAGAGATTAATTCAGTTGCCTGGTCATTCATTTGCGACTGTTCTGATGAGATTGCCTAAGAAATCTCCATTTGTGGTGGTGATTATGAAAAGTTAGTATTTGCTCATTAAACCAAATAATTTCACAAAGTCTGTCCCATGGCAGCTGGGGGCTGAAGTAAAAACACAAAACTAGGGCATCAGGAAAGACTGGAGAAGCACCAGCTCGAACAACAAATTGCTGGAAGATGTATCTTTTAAACTATGCGCCTGCCACCCGTGATCCGCAGCACAAACGCCAAGTGTCATCTAGGGAATTGAGGAAGCTTCCGCACAGGCCATTCTAATGATCGAAGGGAGAAATGTTTCTTTGACAGGCCACCTCTCTGCCCGGGAAGCCTCCACGTACAAGTCGGCTGGAAGAAGCTGCAGAGCGATGTTCCACCCTGTCCTTCTTGGCAGGGCGAGGGAAGCTGAGCCTTTGGTGGGAAGCACGGGGGCAGGACAAAGCCAGCAGCCTGCCGAGGCTCCTGTGGAGCGGCGCGGCTGCAGACCCAAGGCTCGGACGCGGGTCCGGCTGTAGATCGAAGCTCGGCCCCGGTCCGGCTGTAGATCGAAGCTCGGGCCCGGTCCGGCTGTGGATCCAAGCTCGGCCCCGGTCCGGCTGTGGATCCAAGCTCGGCCCCGGTCCGGCTGTGGATCCAAGCTCGGCCCCGGTCCGGCTGTGGATCCAAGCTCGGCCCCGGTCCGGCTGTAGATCGAAGCTCGGGCCCGGTCCGGCTGTGGATCCAAGCTCGGCCCCGGTCCGGCTGTGGATCCAAGCTCGGCCCCGGTCCGGCTGTGGATCCAAGCTCGGCCCCGGTCCGGCTGTAGATCGAAGCTCGGCCCCGGTCCGGCTGTGGATCGAAGCTCGGCCCCGGTCCGGCTGTAGAGCAGCAGACGCGCTCAGGCCGCTCTCGGGCGAGGCTGACAGGGCGGCCGGGGCAGGAGCTGGCGGGGCCCGGGGCGGGGGAATGCACGGCAGGATGGCCGAGGCATCAGCCAGTGACTTCAATTTCTTAAAAGCCTTAAAATCCAGCGGGCAGCTTGTGGTCGAGCAACCAGATGGAGCGGCTCCGGTGGGGAACAGCCGCCGGGCTGCGGGCGGGGCGGGGGAGGAGCGAAGGGGCAGCGGTGCCGGCCGGGCGCCGCGGGGCCCGCCCTGTCCTTGCCCCGCTTCTTTTCCCTTCCCTTCCCGGGCCCAGCCCAGCCCAGCCTGGCCCGGCCGAGCGGCGCTGCGAACTCCGGCCCCGCCACCGCCATGTCGGGCCCGGGCGGGCTCGGCGCGCTGGGGCTGCTGCCGCTGCTGCTGGGGCTGCCCGGGCTGCCGCAGGCCCGGCCCCGCTACGAGCCCACCTGGGGCTCGCTGGACGCCCGGCCGCTGCCCGCCTGGTTTGACGAGGCGAAGTTCGGCGTGTTCATCCACTGGGGCTTGTTCTCGGTGCCCAGCTTCGGCAGCGAGTGGTTCTGGTGAGCGGCAGCCCGAGCCGGGCCGTGCCCGCGCCCCAGGCTCTGCCGGGAGCAGTGCGGGGACAGGCGGGATGGTGTGGGTGCGGTGTCCCCGCACTGCGACGGCTTGGGCTGGAGCCCCTCTGCAGGCTGACCGCGGAGCTCAGCTGTGTGCAGGAGCTCTGCCTCCACCCGAGGCCACGGGCTCCATGGCGCAGTTTGCAGAGGAGGTGGAGCTTCTGGTGTGTCTGACCGCCTGTCTGCCCAACCCCAAACCTCCTGAATACCGAGGCTGAAGTGACTAAACTAAGCAGAGAGCTGGTAAAGCTGAGAGAAGGGCCTGGCAGCACAGCAGTACTGGTGAGAGGTGGTTGGTGGAGTGGCCGAAAGAGACCTCTCCAGGACCACCATGAAGGGATGGGTGAAGGGGGTCTCCCTTGTGGGTACAGGCGTTTGGGATCTCCCAGCCTCTGGAGCAGCCTTGTACACCCGCTGGAGCACTGTGGGGAGCACAGGAGCCCATCGCTACCCTTGCTTGGCAAGCAGCCTTGCTGTTTTCTTGTGCACATTTTCTACTGCTGATGGTTTTCTTCTCTTTTTTTACCGTTACTGCTATTACTCAAGAGTGCTTTGCACTAAAGAGAACCTAAAGCTCTGATCCTTCAGATAATTTCAGTTACAGGCTTGATGAAATATTTGTTCTGTAGTGTTCACTGGTGCAAGCCCTTTGGCTGTAAGCATGTTTTTGCTGTCACCTTTCCATGCTCTACCAAGTACTTCCTGTGAGACTTCAAGTGAGACACATTATTATTTAGAATATGAAGATGAGGGTAGCTTTGTGGCAGAGCTATGGTGAACCTTAATTACAATGCTTGCAAAACAAGCCAACATGTATCTAATCAAACCAATGTTTTCTGACACCTCTCTCTTCAGAATTAAGGCCAAGCATTTCAGCAGGTTTTTAATGCAGACTGCAAATACTAATAAATTACTTTTAGAGAGGTGGGGCAGAACTAGGATTGGGTTCAAGCCTCGTTCAGAGTGCTGTACTCTGATAGTGGTTACAGACTCAGGATCAAGCATTTGGTTTTTGACCCCAAAACTCTAATTTCTTTTTATATTCCTGCGTTCTCCTGTCACATGGCAGGTGTGGGTCTTCAGGGCCTTCTGACAGCTTGTGCAGTCAGATGAGGTCCTGTATTAGCAGCTTCAAATGGAAGGTCATAAACTGTTATCACCCATCCTGTGTGCCTTCCCTCAGAGAGCCACAGCCTTGGTAAGAATGTTTCTAGAATGTAATCACGTCAGCATGGAAGTATTCGTGTTAGCAAACCATGTGACTATGCAAGGTTTTGAGAAGCCAGGTTGTTACTGTTTAATTTAAGAAATTACATACTTTGAAATCAGAGGGGTTTTTTTGTTTGTTTTTATTTTTTTAAAATTTGTTTGTTTTGCCTTATTGTTATTTCCTCTGCTCCTGGCTCTTTCAGTGAGGAAAACTGTCTCAGCCTCTTTCTTCTAAGTTTTTTTTTTTCCCTATTGGCTGCCAGAGATTGTGTTGGTATATGCTGAAGTGTTTTTGGGAAGGCTGCAACAATATTCACACTATGGTCTTAGAAAACTGAGGTCAGAGTCCAGCTCAGGACAGGAGAGAGAAATTAATTTCAAACATTCAAATTCTGGCCTGTTTTATTCCTTCACTTACCATGTATTTTCATACAAGTCTAAATTTGACAAAAGGATTTTTGCTGCTTGGTTTCATTCATAGAAAGGTGACAGAGGTGCATTTGTGAGTGTGTGGTGTTCTTTCAGGGGCAGGTTTTGGTTGGAGGAAGTGCCTTCTTCTAGCAGGGTGCCTTTGCTTGCATGCCTCAGGTGTGCAGAGTATGCAGTGACCCAGTCACAGCTCTCTCTGGCCCTGGGGCTGGGCCCCTTGGGTCGCTCAGCTGCAGTTGTGTAGAGGGTTTGGGACTGCCAGAGAGGTAAAGCTGATAATCCCCACCCATATTTGTGGGTGGCAGGGATTGCAATGTTTGGGGCAGAGCAGAGATGCCTGATGGCTGAGGTGTGAGACTTGAGGATATAAGACATGCAAGTCCAGGAAAAATGCATTTCTCATGCCACCTGAGCTGCTTACACAGACTGTCTGTGGCCTCTAGTACAGTTTTGAGATTTGGGTATTGACCAAGACTGTCATTTTTCCATTCTCAAATTAGAGCTGCTTTTTTTATTGCTTCAGATGAAATTCTGAGACCTTTCCAGAGTGGAATGCAAATATCTAGAGCATGGGACAAATAAGATAGAAAAAAGGAAATCTTTGCTAATCAACACTCTTCTGGAGAAATGTTGTCTTATTGCCAGTGCCAATGCCTCTTCCTATGTGTTAAATAGGAGCTGATAATTTAAATTCTCTTTTATCTAAAAATACATCAGCAGACTTACTTTGTCCCTGTTTTGTAGGTGGTACTGGCAGAAGGAAAAGAGAGAGCCCTATGTGAAATTTATGAACACAAATTACCCACCTGGCTTCAGCTATGAAGATTTTGGTTCTCTGTTTACAGCAGAATTCTTTGATCCCAACCAATGGGCAGATATTCTGAAGGCTTCAGGTGCAAAATACGTTGTCTTAACTTCAAAACATCATGAGGGTAAGAGGAAGCTTTGTGAATATTAGTAATTGCTGCATTTCTGTCAAAAGATGAAAAAAGCATGTGACTTTTGTAGCTTCTAAGAGACCTAGAGGAAACCAGGCAAGCTTACCTGCCCCACCATGGCCAAAAGGAAACAAAAACCACCCAAGAAATGTGCAGGTGTTTTCCTGACTCTCATACAAAAGCTGTGGCCATGGAGTTTGCATAGGAGGAGCAATAGATTGTGCCGCTGTTCTCTTGCCATAGGTAAGACAGCCTAAAGTGGTGATGGCAGCTGAGCTTCCTGCAAATGGCCATAGTTTATTTTTTATTTCTGTGCAATTTATTGCTGAAGGAACCATAAAAGTGAATTCTGCACTGTTTAACATTTGGAGAGCTGCTGTGAGTGGGTAGTTAACAAACTCCTTTGCTTTCTCCAATGAATTTAGGAACATGTTCCAGAAGTCAGCTTAAGATTTAGAAAGGTATAGCTCTTCCTGATGTAGTGCACAGAGGCCAAAACCTCGAGCCAGATCTGTAGTTTTACAGGCACAATTTTTTTAGCACTGTAAGTGTAAGGTACTTTGCAGAGAAAAGTAAATAAAAAGAAAGCTTCTGGAAGGAAATACAGTAGCAAAGAAAGTATAAACTATTAAGATATTCTACAGTACATCTAATGAATGTTGTTGGTCTTTGTGAGATGTGGGTTCAAGGCTGGCAACTTGTGATGTGTCAGTTTTGATCTCAGCTCTGATGACAAACATAATTCTTGATCATGAATTTCACTTGTGGTGAAATTTCCAGTGACTTCAAAAGAACCAGGATTCATTTAGTCTGTCCAATAGCCTTCTGCATGATTTTTTAGGTTGTTTAGTCCGTACAATTGCATGTATCCCGTTCACAGAAATAGCACAAGATTTATTAGACAGGGAGTATAAAGGGATTAGAAGGTGAGAGTGGAGCTCCTCTGGCAGTGGTCCGAGTGAGTCTGCAGTGCAGAATATTTGTAAGTGGTTGTGCTGGACTGATGGATGTCTGAAAGGTCAAATCTCTCCTGATATTTAATCTTGATGTTTTAACAGCTGTTTCAGGAGTTTTTGCCCTCTCCTTATACATATATACAGAGTAGCTGATTGAGCTGTTATAAATATCAAGGCAAACAAAAAGTGAACATTTGCATAAGATGGAAACAGAAAAGAGGAGAACAGTCTTTGAATGCAAATTATAGCTTGGGCTTTCTGCAGCTGAGAAACAATTCTGTCTTCCACTTGCTGATTGTGTATTTAAAGTTCACATTTGATGTAGATGCCTCAAAAGCTGACGTATTTTTGGTTAGTTTCAGAGTGGTAGAGTTAGAGAATGCCTTGTGTTGGAAGGGGCCTTAAAAGTCATCTAGTTAATTTAATTGGCACATATAAATAGAGTGAATAATTAAAGAGAAGGAACAATTATCCTAAGCAGTACAGAACTGGAAAATATAAATGTATATGTGTACATATAAAAAATACATTTTTGATATTAAAACTACTACCATTCTGCAGAAACAAGTTATAGGCACACTTTATACCATGACAACAATATTATTACATATATAATTTTTATTATTTTATTTTCTGTGACACTTCCAACCACTTTCCAGAAAGAAGAACTGTAATATCCTCTCTTCTTTTCTTTCTTATCCTTTTGATTTTTCTCTTTTTAGGCTTTACTTTGTGGGGGTCCAAATATTCTTGGAACTGGAATGCTGTTGATGTGGGACCAAAGCGAGATCTTGTTGCTGAACTAGCAACATCTGTTAGAAACAGGACTGACTTGCATTTTGGGTTGTACCATTCCCTGTTTGAATGGTTCAATCCTCTCTTCCTTGAGGATGCCACCAATGCCTTTAACACAAGCAAGTTTCCAACCAGCAAATCATTACCAGAACTCTATGAAATTGTGACCAAGTACCAGCCAGAAATAATTTGGTCTGATGGGGATGGAAATGCTCCAGATACTTACTGGAACAGCACTGGTTTCTTGGCTTGGCTGTATAATGACAGGTACATAATGATGCTGGTTTAGCTTCTTATCTGAAATTCTGCTCTGTGTCTAGTTTGTTTCATTTTCTGTTTGTTTTGTGGAACTTGCTACTTCTACTTAAGGGGACTTATTAATTCTCTTGAAATACAGAATCCAGATCTTTCCTAGAACTATCAAAGATGGCTTTAGAAAAAGACTGTTTTGTACTTTTTAAACACATTTGCAAATTAATAATTTAAGATGATATTGGCTATTCTGCTTAATCATAGTCTTCCCTAAGTATTTGCTGTTGCACAGAAACACGGGATAGCAGGACAATTTGAGAATATGGATACATTGTTGTCATCGCAGACTGAACATCTGGCAGTGGATATGAAGTGCAGAGTGACGTCTGGCAGAGCTCCTGTAAAAGTCTGGAGCTTATTTCCCTAATAAATTCTGGTCTGGACCTTTTATTAGCAAAGCATGAGAATAGAATTCCTGACATTGCACTTAATCTTATTGTAATAAATTAATAGTACAGAAGTCATCCAAAATGTTAGTTCCTGGGAGGGATGTGTGTGGGAAGGGATTACTCTGGCTGTGACCGTGTTTTATAGAATAGAAGTAATAAAACTCCTCTGTTCCCAGCCCGGTCCGGGACACAGTAGTGACCAATGACCGCTGGGGAGCTGGCAGTATCTGTGCCCATGGCGGCTTCTACACGTGCAGTGACCGCTACAACCCCGGGCACCTCCTGCCCCACAAGTGGGAGAACTGCATGACCATCGACCGCAGCTCCTGGGGCTACCGCAGGGACGCGCAGCTCCGGGACTACCTCCCCATCGAGGACTTGGTGAAGGTACCGTGGGCCACGGGAGCTGCTGCCACTCCCCACTCTCTCTCCTGACTGTTATATTGTGCTGTTTAACTGTTTGATTGTGTATCTATTTTTATGAATAGAATACTATTGAATTATTTTAATTCAATAGTGAATCCATGAAATAATAAACAATTTTGTTAATTTCAAGCCTTAATGCTGACAGGATGGAAAATCCATGTAATGCTTAATCTTTCTCTTAGTAGTTTCTATGGAATGAATTTCTAGTAAAAATTCCTGTGAGTAATTGGCCAAGGACTGATCTGGGCCATCTTATAATTACCTTTTCGACTAAGTTTCTCTGGTAACTGCATATGCAAGATGATGAGAAGCAAACAGTTGCAGTTTCTTAGCTCCTGTTTAGGAACTCCTGCTGCAAGGCTACATCTTTTCCCCTTTACAGACAAACACAGTTTATGACTCAATAGTAGTTTTACTTTGTAGTGAGAACCTTTCCCTACAGACATACAGGTAAACACTACCAGAAGCAGACAGCTGGTGTTGTTAGAACATTGATTCCCTTACTAGACTGAGGTATTAAAAAAGATTTGAAGCTTAGGAAACCTGAATTAAAGGAAGACTGATCAGTCTTTCAGAATAACGTACTTAATTGTAAAATTCAGCTAGCGAGGGAAAGATAGTTACTGTTGCTTAATATTGTTGCTATTTCTAGTACTATCCTCACAAAAGACAATTTGAAATTGAAGTAACCTCTTTTCAGAGGCAGAAGGTTTGAATTAATCCAGCAGCATGTCTGCAGCTGTCTGTTTCTCACACTTATGCATCTCAGTCTGTGATCTCTGGAGGGCAGTGTGGATGTGAACATACATTTTATTGGCTTTGTAGGAGGCTTCCTTGTGTTTTACAGATGTTTCTGTAAAATAGGAAAAACATCAAACAGGAGGAAGGAGGAAGTTGCTTTTCTAAGATTCAATAAAGGTGAAGTAGCAAATATTTTCCTTATGCTACTCTGGTGCAGAGAAATCATCTGTCCTATTGGTAAAACCCTCAGTACATTCTTGCAGAAGTTGAAATGAGAAAAGAGTTGCAGAGTCTGATTCTAATGTGGATTCAGCCAGACATACTGATGCAAGAAGGTATTTGGGGCTGTCTTTGGATATAAAGATTGACAGCAGAGCTTTGTTTTATAGGAGATTGAATTTTGTATTAACTTTAGGGATGAACCTCAAAGTCTTAGCATGCAGCAGCAGCATAACTCATTTGGCTCATCATTCTGAAGGAGTATAGCAGACTTTAGAAAGTACTTCAGATATGTGATTTCATTACTCATAACCGTATGCTCTGTGTGTTTAAAAACACTTCAGCAACTTGCAGAAACAGTGTCTTGTGGAGGAAATCTCCTGATGAACATTGGGCCCACCCACGATGGTCGCATCGCTGTTGTGTTTGAGGAGCGCCTGAGGCAGGTGGGCTCTTGGCTGAAGGTCAATGGAGAAGCCATCTATGGAACGAAACCATGGAGAGCACAGAACGACACAGTCACACCTGGAGTCTGGTAAGTCTACTGACCCAAAATGCAGGCTCTGGAAAGCAGCACCAATGTTATGTGAAGCTTTGAAATCCCTAATGACTTGATGCTACAGAAATCACCATCTTAGTTTGTCTGTGGTGAAGGAATTAATGCCTTTGTTAGTGTAAGTAACTGCATCTAAAATGTGTATAAAGCTGTAGGTAGAGACTAGTTTTGGGATGATGCTGAGGCTGAAAGGAAAGCTGCAAACATTTCTTTGGTCATCTTTTGCTTCTTGGTGTAGGCTAATCTGTTAGGTAATTCTGTTTGCTTCTAGTGGGCAACAGAAATTTAAAAAAAAAATCTGGAAATACAAGATTGCTATGAAGTGTTTATCTGAACAAAGGAATTCTCAGTGTCACATGATGTTTAGAAAGAAAATGGGAAGATAACAGCAATTATTTGGTTGCTAAATACAGTCAGTCTCTGCCCTCCCCTCTGCCCTTGTTACTCGTAGCACCTTCATGATCAATCAGGGTTTTGGTCTTGACCCTCTTGTCTCAGTCGGTGTTTTTACTCCCATTCCTAGTAAGATTTGGCCATCTGGCCTGGAGATGCTGAACTGTTGACTGTTTAGTAAAATCCCTTTCAAGAGCAATAAAAAATTGTAACTAAATAGGAAGGAGGGAGGAATGTTTCAGGGGTATGCCACAAGATTTCCAATGGCATAGTGATGAAAACATAATTTTTAAAAACTAGCTATGCAAGGTGGAAACTCTGTCACTCATACTATTTTTAAATTCTTTTAGTCTGCATGTTAGTGTATAGATGGGAGCTACCATGTTTTTCTGAATATAACCTACAGTTATCTCTAATGATTCTCCATCCTGCAAGTATCTCCTTACTATATGGCTGAGTTGATACAGTGTGCTAAAGTTACAACAAATGTTTACCTCTGAATTTAGTTCTTTAGTAGTTTTCATTACCTCTAGTTTGTTGAAACAAATTTCCAAGGAACAGCACATTATTAAAGGGCATAATTCATCTGACCAGGTGGTTATGTGTGTGAAAATGTAATTAATCCTGAATTTTCTAATCCATTTTTCCAGTCTTGAAAGCACTCTTATGTATCACTTCTAAAGATTTACAAGGAAAAGCTGACATGCCTTTTTGGTCCCCATTTCCAACCAGGTACACGTTCAGCCCTAAAGAAGGGAAAGTCAGTGCTATATTCCTTAACTGGCCAGTCTCTGGGATTCTGGAACTTGGTGAGCCACGGGCTAAGCTTGGAGAAACACAGGTAAAATAAGGGTGCACGCAAACAACCCCCTTCCCTCCTTCTAGGATGTGTCATTTTCCATCTTGTTTATTTAAGTTTCTGGCATCTTTGGGAATGCATAGCTGTTAGGACTTTGGAAGTGACCCAGCAAAATGTTTGTTTTCTTTCTGGGACCTCCTTGTCATAGTCCTCTCAGTGGCATGTTTCTTATCCAGCAAAGTTAGACTAAGATGTTGCTGGGATATGTTTTAGCTTGCAAACTAAGAATCACAAAGAGGCCAAGGAGCAGGGGAAAAAACTGCACCATCCTCCGGTTTCCTGTGTAGACTCCTAACTCAGCATGACTTTTCTTTAGAAGTAGCTGTCGTCATGCCTTTGGTGATACCGGAGTTGCTGTAGTGGTGCAGTTGTTTGAAGTCAAAGCCTTGCAGGATAGGGATGTAACACAGTGGTTTTTGTTGCCTAGGGAGGCTGAAGAGCAATCAGTGTTACCCTAGATGTGCATGTTAGACCAAGTAGGTCAGAAGTTGAGGATAGTGATGCCACACCTACACTGGCAAGTAGCAAGTAACCCAATGGAAGCAGAAGTTGGTATCGACTCTGTGCGTTTAAGGGGGGATTCACTTTGGCTTAGCTCTGCTCTCATGCATGTCCATTAGCTGCTGAGATGCATTTAGGAGTGTTTCTGGACTGCCCCTTCTGGTCTAGTTCCCCATGAAAGTAGTGTGACTGGTGCCAAGACAGCTCCATGATATGGGAGAAAGAGTCATTTCAGAAGTGATGGAGATGTCTCAGGAATTCTGGGGGGATAGCTAGACTACATGTGCACTAGAAAGTACTGTTTCTCAGCAGCAGAGACTGATCTGCAGCTGCTCCAACAGGTCACCAGCTGGTGTAAGTGACAACATCAACCTATTTGTGGTTTTTAGTTCTTCAGATCAGCTTTCTCTGAGATACCTGGCTGCCCTCTGTAAGAAACAGTCATGCTCATTCAAGACTACAAGTTTCATTGTGGGAAGCAGGCAGTTTGGAAACGGGATGCAAAGCTCTGTACTGTGGCTGCTAGATCTCTGTTGAGACCTAAATCCTACTCCAAATGCTTCCCAAAGGTGTATATTCACTTTCTACAGCCCCAAGTCCTTCTCAAGACCCAACATGAGTAGCTTTTTTACTTGCATATCTACTTGCAAATGTTTCCCCATTACCTTTAATAATTATCACTTATTTGGCTAGTAAGTGGCATTTTTAGGACACTTGGTGAGTGAGGTAGCTATGGATCAATAATTATTTTGTCAATATTGCACTTATATGTACTTCAAAAAGGTGCTGTTCTAACTGTAGTGTGTGTTTCTATTTTAGGTGACACTGGCTGGATATGGGGAACTGCTGAAATGGGTTGCCCTGGGAGAAAAGGGAATGGTTATTGCTCTACCTCAATTGACTCCTCAGCAAATGCCATGTCAGTGGGGCTGGACCTTACAACTGACTGACGTACACTGAGCCATACTCTGGCTAGCAGGGAGTGCTGATGTTTTTTGCTCTTTCTTATCACTGGTTTTAAACTTGTTTGACTGAGAAAACCAATAAATTCACTTTTCTATGAGTGGTGGGCTGTTATTAAAGAATAGAATGGAACAAACCTCACGAAGTCTAGCACTAGATAATTGATCCTCTGCACACAGTTTGTTTATCTGAACTTGTGTGAAATACTGAGAAGCTACCTTGACCTCTACACTTGGTTTAGTCAGTTTCTGGCCAAGTTATGTGAAGAATGAGGTGGGGGGGAACAGCCACTAGACTTTCAGAGACAAAAGAAAGAATAAAGCTCAAGCTGGTGTTCAAATGCATGTAAGTTAGTTGTACACCCTCTTTAATGCAAGAAATGTACCTTCCACAAAACTGCACAGTAAAAACTGACAGTTTTAGAGAAAAGAACATACTTTTTCCAGGTGTGTTTAACTAGTGGTAGCTGGCAATTTCAGCTGGATAGGGTAATGTCTGCAAGAACAGGCCTGTAAAAGTTAAGAATTAATCACAAATCCATACAGGCAATGCATATGTACATCCTAATTTCTCATCATGGAAGTAATTAATTTTACATGTTCCTATTCTTGAGTAGCTCCATCCATTATTGGGACACAGGTAAACTAGGAGAGGGTTGGGTTTTTATATTTTGTATAATTTTAGATGGGTAAAACTTGCCTCTTTTTTACAGCCTTTGTTTATGTACAGTTACCAGGGTGCCTTCTGTGGACTATTGAATAAAATATATACTTCAGTGAGTAACTCTTGAAAAGATAAATAATCAGGAGTTGCTAGGGATCTTCAGCTTTGGCAAAGAGACAACATTTTAAGCAGAGAGTAGACTGCCTCCAACTTGAAAAATTTACAAACTCATCATGTGTCACTGTAGGGATAGACACACAAGGTGAAACTTGCAAAGAGGAAGAGATGAGGGATAACAAAAAACATGAATTATGTCTGTTTCAGTGTAGAGACTGAAGGTTTATTTTCCCTGAGTATGTTTGTGAGTGCAAAATGAGTACTGTATAAGTTAAATTTATTCTTTCAACTCTTGTCAGGTTTTTGAGTTCATTGGCCAGGTCAAGTTATTCTCTTCTCTAGTAATGTTAATACATACACAAATTATACATTAAAATATTTTATTACAGTACAGACAATTGGGCTCAAAATTAATACAAATTAAGATAAAATATTTACAAGGTAATGTGTACAGTGTAGCTGTTTGAACAGCATAAACAAGAGTATGTCTAAAAAACCACATTCCTTTAGTATTAAATAACAGAGAGAGCAAACCCCCAGCTTGTTCAAGGGGAACATGCATCCATTGCCAAAGGCTTTCTGAAGAATGAGAGACTTTGGAACAAGATTTGTAAAGTTAAGGAGAAAAATATTTACTTTATAGAAAGAAAAATCTGGGAGAAGAAGAAGAAAAAAGCATTACTTCATTCTGCTGTTCAATGCTATTCTTAGATCACTATCATTAGCTCTTCCCCAAACTTACACACCCCAGGCAAAAAAAATAAAGGTTTTTTAGTAACTTGCTGTAATACTGCCACCAGATGCCTTTTAGATGCAATAAAAAACAACCCAAGGAATTACAGAAGAGTTTACCCACTTTTTAAATAGAGAAGTCTTCACTTATAATGTTTCTTTCAACAAGGATATTTTTAATGGGTGAAGTATACTTCGGTTAGAAGAAAATAGGGGCTCACTCCCACTTTCCTCAGAGAGCTCTTTCTGCTGGTCTGCCACTCCTACACCATTATAAAATTAACCCAAGTCTCATCAGTAGTCACCAGGGATTTGTTATAAATACACCATCCATTTGTAAAAATGTGCAGATCATTTCTCTAGTTGCTGAGGAGTACTAAAAGCTTCATAAACATTAGCTGCAAAATCTTTCACTTGTTCCATCATCAACAGGTCCTGGAAGAAATGTATAAAATAAGCTTCCTTAGTCAGACACATTCCCTGCTATTCTGCCTGTACTGTAGTACAGAATTAATAAGAAAAGCACCTGGCATTCCCACAGGCATAACTCAAACTTCTTGTTTTAGAAAGGTTTAGGAGCACACCTGCAAGTAGAACCAAGGCCAGGGCCAGAAGTTTGTGCTTCTGCACAGTTCAGCAGAAGAAAGTTGTAGAAAAGTAGTGTATTTTTGGAAGATACCAATTGACAAAGTTTGTTATGGCAATTGTTTTCAATTTATTTTTTTAAAGCCACTGAAATTAAACAAATTATTAGAAATAAACATACAACATTAATTTCAAGATTTTGCTTGGGATACTGTAAATAAGGCAGATTCTTACCTGAACAAAGTGACTGGGTGTTTCACTGCATACTGAATGGATCTGTCCATTTATTATTGGAATTATCTTGGCTAAAGGAAGACTGACACTGGAAAGACTAGGAAAGAACAAAAAATATTGACCTGCTCAGACACAGATGAAGCCACTAAAGTGTGATTATAGAATTCTAAGTAATTACCACTTGAAAAGTAAGAATTTAAAGACTGCAAACTAAAATGTATGGATGAAGGGTTTTTTCTCCATATCAAGGCTTTCCTTTAATGTAGAGAAGTATCAGTTCAATTCCAGTCCATATTCCTATTGCATAGTTTCACACTTGCTTCTCATGCAAGAGTATTATGGTTTAGTCAGCCTTTGCATGTGTATGTAATAGACAGGTCATAGAAATGCCTGTCTACCATTTAATGCTATTTCAAACTAAACCAGGCTTTGGCAGATAGCCAAACTACAGACTTTGAGATATTTTAAATTATGTAAATAGTATATACTTAAATTAAAACATAACTCTCTGAAAGCCAAGTTACTACAATAAACATACATAAACCCAGTTATCATTCCAGGTTTTAAGTTTAATATTTGAGAAAGAATATTTCAACAATTTCAACTCAGCTTTTGGATTTGTAATGTTCTCACCAAACTGCTTAAAATCAAAGTTAATTTCATATTAAAATCTATTTTTAAACATTCTTCTAGGAGGATGTAGAAAATCCTGCATGTTAGTGCATTTTATCTGCATACCAGTGAAACCTAAAGCTCCATGGCAGCTTTGGCTCCCTGTCACTGGAGGATCAGGGCAATGCCTGCCCCCCCTTCCTTGAGAGGAAAGCCACAGGAAATGTTGGAGGCTGGGGTGCTTGGAGCTCTTGGGCTACAGGGGAGGGAGGGCTCTCCTTCTCACAGCCTCACTGGGCATACCTGTCAGGAGTCACCACCAGAAGGGAAACCCTCCCCAACCCAAAAGGCAGTCTGCCTGTACCGAGTTCAGGCAAGAAGTGGGTACAGGTCATCTGACCTCTTCTTCTAGGTCTGCAGGAAAGGTGGGAAAGAATGTCACCTAATTCTAGTGATTTCATGGGTGGAAGGAAACGTGAGTCTTGCTAGCTGCCTACGTGGCCAAAGTGAGGAGAACCCAGTGAGCCTTGAAGAGCAAGACGCAGAATAATATTTCCAGCACAAGAACTCCAAGAAGGCAGGAAAATCAAAAGCCTTTTTGGAACTCACTATGAATCCAAAGCATTACTGACATGAGAACCACAACAAAAGAAAACATTTACCTATTTACAGAGCTGTTTTGAGAAAGGTCTTTTTCAGTAGGTCTAAAAAATTCTGCCATATTGTCCAGCAGTCGACTGAATCCTCTATTTAAACATGTGCTCAAAACTGTACTGAAGTCTGGACTGAAAAGAAAGAAAAATAGAAAGAAAGGTTTTTTTCCCAGGTTTATTTTTTTTTCAAACAAAAAAGCCCTGCAAGTATTCAGTGCTACAGGTGTGCCTCCCCTCACGGGTGATGTGTGAACCAGACAAATGCCACTAGCATGGCCCCCTCATTGAAACATCAGCTCCCTTAACGACCTGAACTCTACCCAAAGATTACTAAAACCCACATAAACCTGAAGCATTCCTCACTTATATTTCTTACTAAGTAATAACATAGAAGGGACTTAACCTTGAAGTGCCCCACATCCCTAGCAGCTGAACTGTAAGAATAGTTTGACATTTGTTTTAATTCCCTCATATCTTATGTTTATTATAGGAGCCTCACTTTTACCAGCTCTATGGTAAAAGGACACATACAACCACCCTCAAAATCATGCATTAAAAATATATTCCAATAAGCCAAAACTGGTGTTCACTTTATCAAAGCAAGTAAATCCAATAAAATTACTCTCAATTTACCCTGCTTTAGCAGAAAAGAAGCACTCCTCTGTTCCTACATTACTACAGAGTGGGTGAGGAAGAGATAATAGGTCTGATTGCCAAGGACATCCTGGGTATCTCGTTAAGGCAGCATTATTTCTTTAAAAGTTTGAGAGCTCACAAATTTTGAAAATCCCAGCCTACAACTGATAAATATAAAAATTTAATGCAGAATGGTTACATTTCTCAAAGGAAAAGTTGTCAGTTTTTTGTATGAAAGTAATTGTCTTACATAAACAATAGTTTTGAGGAGGAGTTTAATGTGAACACAGCATATTTCTCTATACCTTTCTAGCATATCTCTAGTTTCATTCAGTAATTTAATTGTAGCAATGTCTCTTTCTGTGAGTCCACAGGCCTAGAAAAACCAAAGACAGACACTATTAGCAAGTGCCATCAGCAACTGTAAGAGTAAGAGCAGAAATAGGAAAGCTGAGTATCATGAAATTAGTCAAGATGTACATGTCAAATATAAAAGAAAATATTGTTTAAATAGTCACTGTAGGATTTTTAACTAAAACCAATACTAGCAGGAAATACCAGACTATTTGAGGAAGTAATTTTTCCAATCTGACCTTCAATATTGAAATTATCCCAGTGTATCAGATAACGTTAAAGCAGTAAATGCATGTAGCCACATGCTGAAGCCCAGGTTTCCTCATTATACCAGTGTAAGACCAAGTGAAGAATGAGTTTTCTCCAGCCTGTGGTGTGGATGGAGACAAACACCTCCACAAAATTGAAGAAATTTATGTTGCAACTGAGATTAGATACACTTTTCTCTTGACTCCTCTTCATTTTTAGCCCAAAGCATCAAAGGACTCCAGCACATCATTCTCTGCACCAGCCA